AGAGCGGCGCATTATCGAAGAAATTTTAGAATTTTCAATTTCATCCATTTTAATAATAATAATAATAATAATAATCCATATCTGGAGTTGTGCTTTGTTTCATTTACACATTTTTAACACACAAACTCTGCACATTTAGGCTGAGTTCTTCTCTCAAGCAGAAAACGCTCCAGTCCACCTTGTGATGTCATGTTGTAATACAAGAAGCGCTCCACCGTGTTTTTAAATGCCATCCATGTTCACTAGAATCATTTGGATAATTTCAGCCCTGGAATTGAATTGGAACTGATCTCAGCTGACTTGAACACTGTCACCTTATGACATCACAAGGAGGAACAGAGCATTTTGAGTTTTGGAGATGTAAACACACTATAATAATGAAGAGTTCCTCAAACGTGTGAATGAAACAAAACACAATTCCAGGTATTTTACCATGTTTTTGATGAAGTAACATTATAACTAGAGGTGCACAAAAATATCAAAACATCGACATATGGTATCGCTTAATGTGATGATGCAGTATCGATACAGTGGGCTGCTGTATCGACATATCACCAAGAGTATTTTTTGGTATATTTTACTAGATTCTTTTGTTACAGTGCGATAGTTTTGTTTAGAGCAGACATGTCAGACTCAGGGTAAAACTCAGGGCTAAATTTGGCCCGTGATATAATTATATTTGGCCCACAAGATCATGTCAAATATGAGCTGCCACTGGCTGTCGCACCAGTATGACACATGCATCACTAATACTACAAATCCCAGAATGCTTTACAAACCACACCTGCTTACACTCATTGGCATCTGCTAAAGACTGGATTTTCATTGAAGCACGTTGTTATTTTTGACTGGTTGTTGGCTTGTGAAAAAAAAAAAAAAAAAAAAAAAGGAGTTCAAAAGCTACAGATAGGCTATAGACATTATTTATTTAAAATGTTGTTTTATATTTTGCTTGTTCTTGATTCAATGTTTAAGCAAAACTATTATTAAATATTTATTTTCAACATTACATATCTTGAAAGAAGAGAAAACATGCAGATGTTGTTGACTTAGTCCCAGTTTTTAATTTTGGCCTCTGTGAATCTGAGTTTGACACCCCTGGTTTAGTGGAAGGAAACTCGTTTATGCGACTCATTTGACATTTTCACTGTTTTGATGATTAAAATGTTTGTGTTTCATTAGAACTTTGCACAAGAAGTGGTTTAACAAAGACTTTTAGTATCACAGCCATGATTTACTCTTTAGTTTTATTGAACCGTATCAAATCGATTTGTATTATATTGTATTGAATCAAAAGTTCATTGTATCGAGATATGTATCGTATTATGGCCTATGTATCGAGGTATGTTTCTTATCGTGGCATATGTATCGAGGTATGTATCACATCGTGGCCTATGTATCGAGGTATGTATCGTATCGTGGTATGTATCGTATATCGTGGCATATGTATCGAGGTATGTATCATATCGTGGCCTATGTATCGAGGTATGTATCACATCGTGGCCTATGTATCGAGGTATGTATCGTATCGAGGCCTATGTATCGAGGTATGTATCGTATCGAGGCCTATGTATCGAGGTATGTATCTTATCGTGGCATATGTATCGAGGTATGTATCACATTGTGGCCTATGTATCGAGGTATGTATCACATCGTGGCCTATGTATCGAGGTATGTTTCTTATCGTGGCCTATATATCGAGGTATGTATCGTATCGTGGCCTATGTATCGAGGAATGTATCACATCGTGGCCTATGTATCGAGGTATGTTTCTTATCGTGGCCTATATATCGAGGTATGTATCACATTGTGGCCTATGTATTGAGGTATGTATCACATCGTGGCCTATGTATCGAGGTATGTTTCTTATCGTGGCCTATATATCGAGGTATGTATCGTATCGTGGCCTATGTATCGAGGAATGTATCATATCGTGGCCTATGTATCGAGGTATGTATCACATCGTGGCCTATGTATCGAGGTATGTATCGTATCGAGGCCTATGTATCGAGGTATGTATCTTATCGTGGCATATGTATCGAGGTATGTATCATACCGAGGCCTATGTATCGAGGTATGTATCTTATCGTGGCCTATGTATCGAGGTATGTATCGTATCGAGGCCTATGTATCGAGGTATGTATCGTATTGAGGCCTATGTATCGAGGTATGTATCTTATCGTGGCATATGTATCGAGGTATGTATCACATTGTGGCCTATGTATTGAGGTATGTATCACATCGTGGCCTATGTATCGAGGTATGTTTCTTATCGTGGCCTATATATCGAGGTATGTATCATATCGTGGCCTATGTATCGAGGAATGTATCGTATCGAGGCCTATGTATCGAGGTATGTATCGTATCGTGGCCTATGTATCGAGGAATGTATCGTATCGTGGCCTATGTATCGAGGTATGTATCTTATCGTGGCATATGTATCGAGGTATGTATCACATCGTGGCCTATGTATCGAGGTATGTATCGTATCGAGGCCTATGTATCGAGGTATGTATCGTATCGAGGCCTATGTATCGAGGTATGTATCCATCGTGGCCTATGTATCGAGGTATGTATCACGTATCGTGGCCTATGTATCGAGGTATGTATCGTATCGAGGCCTATGTATCGAGGCCTATGTATCGAGGTATGTATGTATCTATGTATCGAGGTATGTATCGATGGTATGTATCGAGGTATCGTATCGTGGCCTATGTATCGAGGAATGTATCGTATCGTGGCCTATGTATCGAGGTATGTATCGTATCGTGGCCTATGTATCGAGGTATGTATCGTATCATGGCCTATTTTATTTTATTTTATTTGGCCTTAATAAGAACATTTTAAGCAGCCTAAGCTTGTGGACGTGGTCTAATCTCACAGACAATTCCTTTCCGCTACTAAGTGTTTGATAGAGTTTAAGAAAGCGAACAACCCCATCTTGCAGGATTTGCGGGCAGGAGCAGGACTCAAAATTACAATTCTTTGCAGAAGCGGGACTGAAAATTCCCACGCAGACCTCTAGTATGTATCGTATCAGCAGCTTCTTAAAGATAGCCAGCCCTAATTATAACATCATTAGAAGATCACAAGAGTCCGTTTCGTATATAGCTGCACAATTTTGAAAAAAGACCCTTGATCATATTGTGATCAGCCTGCGCGTTCATGGTTCTGTTTAGAAGTTTGATTTTCAACAAAAAAGATGAGCGAGACTAACTGGAAAACTGTTGGTTAATACCGGCTACTTCAAGCTCTAGATTTAGCCTAATTGACAGTAAATGTTGATTTTTACATAATGAGTTGGTAACAATTACACAATCTGAATGCGTTCCATACATTACTTGGCTGCAATATTCTTCACACTTATTAACACTTCTTCAGTCGCACTTCTAATTCCATCTCTCGGCATCGCAAATTGAACCCCCTTCCCCAGAAAAGATGAGGAAGAAGAAGCTAATTTAAGGCCAAATCATCCAACTAAACAGAACAGCAGCATCGTTTCGTTGTGCGCTTGGTTCCATTCATTGATACTGTAGCGTGTACAGAAGCATGAATCATACTTGGAGCAGTGGGAGGGCAGTTTGGGCACTCTCCAAATCATAGCTGGCTCCCGCACGCTAAGTTAAAGCAGGTCAAATCAGATCAACGCCGTACCAGCAGCTCGCTACGCACTGACGTCACGAGTAACATCATTTGATTTTCAGTTTTTGTAATGAATAATATACAGTATATATTTTTTATTCCTATCTGTGCTTAGAGATTATTATTAGGGTATTTTTGTTTGTGGTAATGTTTATGATTTTTCAGTATTTAAGAGGGAATGTGTTTGTTTCTATTTGTAGAGAGAAAGGCGAGTAGAGAGTAGAGTTTTTCATTGTTAATTGATTTGGGGGAGGAGCCTCGTACTATAAAAGGGGCTTTCCATCTTCACAGACAAACATGAAAAGTTCTGACCCCAGTCGCACTGTCGTATTGATACTTTGCAGATGATGACATGAACATTCCTTAGGGGTGTGGTGCTAACTGGAAGCACTGCTGTGTTAGAAGCGTTTTATTTTAAAGAGTTTTATTTTAACACGGTCTGATCAGAAGGAGCTGATTTGGTTGGAACTACAACAGGTGAGCTGATTTGTGCTTTTATACAAGTCTCTCACACAGAAAATCACAGTGACAAAGACATCTTAAAGGTTCGATATTACACAAAATGGACCATGTTAGAATGTTGTTACCTCATGAAAAACACACTCAGTTGTGTTTTGTTTCATTCACACGTTTAAGTAACTCTTTATTGTTATTCTGTCTACATCTCCAGAGCTCAAAATGCTCTGTTCCACCTTGTGATGTCATCAAGCGGTAGTTTTCAAGTTAACAGCTACACTTTTGCCTTTGTTCAGTAGAGATTGGTAATTACAGGTCTGAAATTATCTGAATGATTTTAGTGAAGGTGTATGGAGTCTAAAAACACCGAGGAGGACTTCCTGTATTACCACATGACATCACAAGGTGGAGTGTTTTCCATCTGAGAGACAAAAGCCCCTTTTAAAACACCTTTTTTGTGTTCTTGCATCTTACATTAGAACACTGTAAGTAAACTTTTCTCTTATCTTATCTCAACCAAATAAGAATAGAATATAGAATGTATACAAAGTCCGTATGTTGTTTCATCTTAAAAACAAAACCCTGAATGTTTCTGAGATGTGAAACACGTGTAAGTGGAACAAAACACAATTCCAGGTATGTTTTTGATGAGGTAACAACATTATAACATGGTTTAAAGAGTCCGTTTTGTGTAACATAGGACCTTTAAAGTTTAAAGGAAAAGTGAGAAAGACCAGAGTTTGTTAGTTACTAGAGAGAGATAAAATCTAATCAGTGTCTGTACTATAAGTGTGTCCTGTTCTGTGTAATATCCTGTCGTCATGTCTTATCAGCAGGAGTTTTAAAGCTCATGTGTGCACTGTAGTACTCCTATATATTACACATACATGAGGGAGACTTACCGTCTGCAGTACTTTGTTGTCTTTGAACCATGTGATCACCGGAGCTGGGTTGCCGCTGGCGACGCAGGTGAGAGACAGCGGATTTCCAACCAGGACCTCGATGACGGGAGGCGGGGCTTTGGTGAGAGTGGGAGGAGCTGAAATACACAGATAACAAAATATGAATAAAAAACAACAAATGACAAATTTTCTTGTGTTGTTCCTTACTAAACATTTTAAGTTATGTCAAGACCATTCTGTTAAATTAGACATATGTTTCCCCTTCATTGACCCTCTGAAGTTGTATTTGGAGTGATTTGTGCATGTTTGGGCAATCTTTAAGCACTTACTTTCAAGACGCCATACTGCCGATCAAGTCCCATTTTCACCGCCAATCAACACACCCACCTGCTCTGTACTTACTTCATTAGTAAATTTTATTTTCTTAATTGGTGATACACGTAGGATTATGCAATGTTACATTGTCATTTTGGTACAAATTTTGGTTTGTTAGTGTGATGTGTAGCCATCCATCGGAGATGCCGACAGCTGCACAACTCTTTGTTGTGATGACATTGAGTTTATTTATTTAATGAGACAGGGACAGTGCACAATATACAATATACATTACCTCCTAGGACCTGAACATGGTTTATTGATTTCTCTTTGTTATTTGGAATGATTGTGACCTGAAAGAAATATTATATTTTTTATATTTATATGTCTACATATGTTAAATAAAACATTCATTTTTTATGTTTTTTAATCATTTTGATGAAACACAATAAAGTCACAATTGAATAATGATTTGCAGAAACTATTTATTAAGAGCCTGAACAAACCAAAATGTGTGTGGACATATATACGCCAGGTCCTAGGAGTGATACATTGTGCCAGGTTGTAATACTAGTGCAAACTGCAAACTTCCACCTGTCGTCTCTGGGCAGGTTGATTTGAAAGTTCGTAAAATCAAACATACAAAGAGAATGTCTTTATAATGACCTGAGCAACTTAACAATTCCAGATCCTCATTTACACCCAGTTCTCTTAGCATCTTAAAATCATCATCCTTTATCAAAATCATCATTCAGTTCATTCACTCCTGATCATCACTCTCTCTAGACACTCAACCTCACATTCTCAGCTCCCATTGGGAATCACAGTTTTCTTTTATTAAGTTGTTTTAGATGAAAATTGTGTTTAAAATGTCTAAATTAAATAAAAATGACAAAAAGATCCACTGCTGTCAGAGATTATAACAGTGTAGCAGACCCAAGCATAATATATTTGCTTTAACATTTTAGAACAGGGCTCTCCAACCTGTGGCTCAGGACCTACCGGTAACTCTCCACCCCTTTCCAAGTAGCTCGCCAACAGATTTTGGAATTATACCATTGTGCTGAATAATAAAAATGTGGTTAAGTACATGCCTATTACTATTGTCCAACTTTGTGCACTAATAAATGGACAATGGTTTATGTTTTATAGGCGTCTAACTGTATCCAAACGCTCGCCCTCTTTCTTATGATCGTCTCAATTTCTCGCAGCCACTAAAATTAGAAGCTCTCTGGCATTTTTGTTTTGTAAAGCTCACGGGAGGAAAAAGGTTGGAGACTCCTATTTTAGAAAGACAATTTCGTAGTTTAATTTAAGTCCCTTGTAAAGCTTTGTGCCAAATTTCCTTCTACGCATTTCAGCAAAATCTGTCGTGCCAAACCAGTACAGATGTTGTATAAATTAGATTAAAAGTTGTAAGCAATATCATTAGCAACTGAAATTTGTGATAATAAACGTACCGTGGTATATAATTAGGACGCTCGGAATGCTTAAAGTAAGTGAGGAATAACTTTGGACCAAGCTGAGCGAAGTGTTTTGCCAAATGACACAAACAAAGCAGCCAGCGGTCAGAGCTAAAAAATCAACATCCAAAATTTAAAGACGCTCTAGCCACTCCCCCAATATCTTAATTGTGTAGAATTACTGTAATCCATAAACATTAATTTGAAATGTCAGCCATTTTGAACCGCAAACTGCTTCCCACCAATATTTTGAAGTTGGCAAAGCACTCGAACCTTAATAGAACTTTCTTTATGTTAGCAATAAGTTACGCAATTGTCAGCTTGTTCTTAAGTGCGAGTCTCCCTTTATTTGATGGATCTGAAATGTGAAATATTGACGTCCACTTTATCTTCCTCCGCTCGGTCGATACAGCAATTATTGTTTGGCACGTACCATGGCAATGAGCTAACAGAAGCGCCAGTCTTAAACGTATTCGCCGTTAGCGTACATATTTCAAAAAAGTGGCTCGATATTTAGTAATAAACACGATGCTCTACGGTGATTGTTGTGTTTGGTAAGCACTTAGAATATGAGGCATCTTAGGGCAGTTCATTTCTGAAACTCTTAAAAGAATGAGGGCAGTAGTCGGCCATTTGATTTGTTTTTCATTCCTTAAAAAGGGGGGATTTTACTTCTGTGGGGACTAACTGCTATTAACTGATCACCATGTTACCTTTTATTGTTTTGAAAATGCTAGCGTATTTTTTGGACTATAAGTCGCTCCGGAGTATAAGTCGCACCAGCCAAAAAATGCGTCATGAAGAAGAAAAAAACATATATAAGTCGCACCGGACTATAAATCGAACTTTTTGGGGGAAATTTATTTTATAAAATCAGAGACCAGGAACCGACATTTCATCTTGAATGACAAGTTATAGTAACAACAACAACAAAATAGAGAACAACAGGCTAAACAGGCTGGTATGTTAATGTCACATATGAACAGTTCTTCAGATAACTAGAGCATGAACACCATAACATAAGTTTACCAAATTCTCGACAACACTCCAAATCACAAAATTTTATTCTTCATCCTTGGTGTCATTTCTGAGCAACATCGCGACCTCAGGAAGTAAACTATAGATCCAGGAGGTAAACGGATTGCAGTTTCCTCTTCTGTGTAGCTGTTGTCAGGCTCAGCATACAGTTCCAGTTAGAATTATTCCGGCCTTTCTGAATCCCAAAAGGATGGTTTTGTGGTCACTGAAGTCCAGGCTTTGTCGATCCATCCAGTGACTTCCAGGAAAGTTACTTGGTGCACCCTCCCGGTTGCCGTGAAGCTGTGTTCTCCATTCCCGCCTTCCACCAGTCCCTCACAAGTTCATTCCAAACTTTCTTTCTGTTGCTCAATTACCATTTTCAGATGAATATTTCACTATTTGCAGCAGGACAGCAGCTTTTTCTGCAGGAGACATGTGCAGTAGGGCACCAAGTGACAGGGGTACAGTAGTAGCAGATACTGACACACAAGCCTAGAGCGCCCTCTCGTGGCCGTCAATGTGAAAATTTTAATATATACCACCCAAACCATGAAAAAAAGTGCGACTTATAGTCCAAAAACTACAGTATATTCACCAAAACCAACATATTAACATCTCCATGCACTCCACATGTGAAGTCACAACCCCGTCAGAGTGCTACTACAACGCAATCATTAGCATTCGGTGAATGAAACTACTGAAAATCACATCAAGTTTGTCAAGTTGTTGCGTACAGGTTTAAATCATGTTTTGTATATCGATGATGTAGGCTTGTTCTGGACAGAGTTGTACTGCTAACTGTAAGGAGGGTTCAAACAGGGCCTGGGAGAGATCACTACATTACTCAAACATGCATTGATGACATCTAAAACCTTTGAGGAGGGAACAATGTTATAAAATGGTAGAAAGCTGCAATACAAAACGGAGAAGAACCACAGGCTTTATTGACATGTTTGTACTGCACAGACAGAGGTGGAGAAGAGCTGAGGACACACAGATCACCTCGGTGCACTGTTTGTACAGAGCTTTAGGATTGTCGATGGATTCTCTGTATTTCTCTGAACTGTATGAAGCCGGAGCTGTTACTGTTTTAATAAAGGTACTGCAATCACAACTGAAACATTAACCTGCACATGGAAGACACATACATACATTTGTTTTGTTTTATTCTGCCTATATGGAGAGGTCAGGCCTCATGTGAAAGCTCAGAACCTCCAGAATCCATTGAGTGAGTTGCAGAGGCTGTACTAGCACTGATCCATGATTGGCATTAAGTGCTGGGGTTTGGTAGCCTGATTGATCAGCTGGTCTCACTTCGTAGAGACTGTCTGACCTTGCAGTGTTCGCTCGACAGTAGGCGCGTACTTTTTTCATTTAACCAATCGCTGCTATTTGGTCATGATGTATGTAATGCGCCGCTAACAGGGCTAACTGGTATATTAAGCTTTTCCCAAATCCCATAGGAAGAAGGACAATAACGTCTTTCCCCTTGATAAAATTCAACAAACATTCTCTTTGTTCCAACTTTAAATCCTTGATCTCAGGAATCGTTGCCAACACAAAATGTATGGCTCTTCGCTGATTGGCTGGTGCCCGAGCTCTCACTTACAGGATTTTTTCGAAATATCTAGTGTATTCCGATTCTTGACCTAGTCGCTGGAGGGAAATGAAATTGAGTGGAGGCACTAGATGGCGCCAGACTGACTAGGGGTTTGGATAGTAGAGCAAGATAATCTTGTGGCATTTTAATCTTGCAAGATATTCTTACTAAATTACTAACAATACTGCTCTCTACAGTCGTGAATATTATGCTCTTTCTTAGGTAGAAATTGTTGTGAAAAGTTTGAGAACCTGCTTTCACTGATTTATTTGAGCATGTAATAAATAAAATCATGTTTACATATACAAACATGGAATTCGCCGTGTATTTTCAATCAAATGTTCATTCATCAGTTCAATAGCAACAAGTGAGTTGTGTATTGTTATGTCATGTCAGTTTTATATGATGACTCCAGAGTAGCTATGCTTCTACAGCCAATGGAGGTCAAATAAATACGAAATACAAAACAAGTGAGTTCAGTTATATAGTATATGATTTGACATACTATTAGTGAGTACTTACAGGATCATAGGAAAATGTGTGGATGAAACGAAACACAACTCAGAGCATGCTTATGATGAGAAACTTATAACAAAGCTCATTTTTGCAAGGATCTGTACCTGTGTCTGTAGCAAGCTGTACCTGATTTAAAATACTTTAAAAACAAGTCAGCGGTCCAAAGTTATTCCTCACTTACCTTGTGCATTTCAAGCATTGTAATTCACCGAAATAGTTTCTC